GGGGTTTGTGTGGGTGTCGCGGGTGTGGGGGGGGGGGGTCCCCATCTCCCGGCAGATCAGGGAGATGGGGAGCAAAGCCGTGGAGCACGCCCGCAGCGGGACAGCCCAGGCGCGCCCGGGCTGTCGCGCTGCGGGCGTGCTCTGCGGCTTTTCTCCTGTCCCCCTGGTCTGCTGGGGGGGTACAGCGGCTTTGCTGGACCCCCGCAGCAGACCAGGGAGACCAGGAGAAGCTTTTCTCACCCCGGAGGACACGGGTGGCGACCCGCCGCCCGTGAGCTCTGGGGTGAGAAAAGCAGCGGGACAGCCCAGGCGCGCCCGGGCTGTCGCGCTGCGGGCGTGCTCTGCGGCTTTTCTCCTGTCCCCCTGGTCTGCTGGGGGGGTACAGCGGCTTTGCTGGACCCCCGCAGCAGACCAGGGAGACCAGGAGAAGCTTTTCTCACCCCGGAGGACACGGGTGGCGACCCGCCGCCCGTGAGCTCTGGGGTGAGAAAAGCCCCGTTTGTAAGTGTGGATCCCACATAAGTCGGATCCGCGTAAATCGGGGACTGCCTGTATGTTTAAAATAAATTATTCTGTATAGTCAAACTCCCATTTCAATATATCCCCTAAGTGTTGGATACTGGTTGAGGTCTTCTTTCATAGTTTTACCCAAAATATTTTTTTTCCTTAATTTGATTTCTTTTCTGTTTCTTTTCTGATTTCTTTTCTGTTTCTTTTCTGATTTCTTTTCTGTTTCTATCCATCTTTACTATTGTTTGCACTTTAATGCTAGCGTGAATGAAGGATGTTAGGGACAGAGAAACCTGAATTTACCAGTGGAATTAGGTTCTTCTAGGGATTTGTAATATTTTGGAATTGTAGTTTGTTTTTAAAACGAAAAGATCATAGCAACTATTTTAAAAACCACTATATACAATAAATAGTCTTGATTTCTTTTATCATATGAATGATAGGATTCAGGAATATTCTGTGTCCCTTTATTAAACTGAGAAATAAGAATTAAGGACTGGATCTAACCCCCACTGAAATCAATGGAAAGACTTTCACTGACTTCAATTGACTTTAAATCCTGGAAGACAAGTTAAAAAGTACAAATGAGAGCAGCATAACAACAAATGAGAGCAGCATAACAACAGAGTGAGATTAGAACGTATGTTAGCAGTCCTTTGTACTGAACTCAAATTACTTGTGGACTTCACAGATGGAAATGTAAAGAGTACAGAATAAAGATGTACAATGAGAACACACTATGGTTTTTATCTCTATGGGATCTATTTATGTCAGGACAGAACTTGTACCATGAACTTTTGATTTGTATCACTTCTTAAATATTATTCTCAAAACTAAATTAACAATTGTACAATGTATATTTTATCGGCTGTATTTCAATTGCATGAAGATTCAGTGAGAATTGTCTAATGTGAACTGAATTATGTTTGACTATTTCTCGCTCAATAAATACTGATTATTTCACATTCATGTACTCACTGCATAACTATTGGTATCAGTGTTGTAATACATTATAAAGTAAAAGACAGGTAGGAACTAGGAAATAAGAGCATTTTATGCACTAACGATCTGCTTAAATTAGGCATTATTTAGAAAGGGGTAATAACATTTGAATGCAAAAATCAAATAGTACTATAGATAAAGAGAAAACAAGCACCTGGATCAGATGTAATGCTTTAAATGCCTTTTGGGTAATTTTTGTATTAGGAGAGAGGATGTTCATTACGGAACTATTGCAGACATGCTATGACTTGAAGAAGGGTAGGATGAACAGCTGCATTCTGTGCACAGAGGCTTTATCTACCTACAGAACAGTGTTGTTATGTACTGGACATATTTGCATTAGGCTTGAACAAAAAAACTGGCAGTATATATAAAAGCAAGGGTGAGCATCATCCCCTTTGATTTACAGAATCCTATAGTAATTTTGAGTCAGTTCATTGGGTGTCTCCTTTCATAGAGATTTCCATTAATTAGAACTGGATTCAGTGTTAATTTCTTTCCTGTAAGAACAATATGTTGTGGTTCTCTAGGGATGTGGTAGAGTAGTCGACTGGTTGATTAACTGATTAGCAAAAGTTTATCAGTTAATGCTATCGACTACATGCATTTAAATGTAGAGTTGCAGCAGCGAACCTACCCTCCCCCCCACCGCTGCCGTTCTGTATTTAAAATACAGTAGAAGCCAGGCAGGCAGGCAGCCCAGCTCAGTCTCAACTTGCACCGGGTCCAGGACCTACCCCCGCTGCGGCTCTGCATTTTAAATGTAGTAAGAACAGGGTGGGCAGGCAGCCCTGCTCAGGCCCAGTTTGAGCTGGTCCAGGATCAAAGTTTGGACTCGGACCCAGTGCGCGCTGGAACTGCCTGCCCACCCAGCTACCTACCCACCTGGCTCTTACTACATTTAAACTGCCGATCCGCCGCAGGGGTAGCTCTTGAACCCAGCACATGCCAGGACTGAGCACTTTAACTTCCCTTATCAACTAATCATGCAATTGATAAATATTCTATCGACTACATGATTAGTGAATGATCTGTTTCTGAACATCCCTGCGGAAATTGTAGGAGGAGTCTGCCAGGTTGCCCGAGGTCAGAAACTTGCCCTTCCTCCCTTCTCCTTTTCCACCACTTATTTTTTCACACTTGCTAACTGATCACCATAGGTTGGAAGGATAATAGGTGCCTATATAAGACAAAGCCCCAAATATTGGGACTGTCCCTATAAAATCAGGACATCTGGTCACCCTATCCTATGGACATAGCGCAGGGGTCACTTGTGTCTGTGTGAGAAAGGAACATCAGGGAGGGCCACCCAGAGTGGCAGGGAGGTAGCATGTGAGGGCACCCCATTCGGCAATTAAAATGTTGACGAGGGCACATGAGTGGCTGTGCACCTCCCAAGTGCTACCACAGATCTGCCCCCCCTCCACCCCAGCAGGAGGCGGGATGAAGGGCGCCCTAAGAGTAAGGTGGTGGGGCAGATACTGGCATGGCCTAGGGGATAGGGCATGGTAGCAGGTTCTAGTCCCAGCGCCCCCTCCCTCTCCCCCCAGCAGGAGGCAGGGTAAGGGGCACTCTGAGTGCAGGGCTGGCCTTACCATGAGGCGAACTGAGGCAGCCGCCTCAGGTACCAGACTGTGGGGGCACCACTAGGACCCAGAGTGTAGAAAATTGTGTCTGCTGCTGGTGCATATGTATTCTCTCTGCTCTAGATGCACAGAGATGGTGGAGTGCCATGAGAGGAGTAGAACAGGAAGAAGGCAGAATTGAGACTTTTCAAAATTTTGGCCCGGGTAAAGGGGCGTCATTTGAGCTCCCTGCCTCAGGGGCCAAAATGTTGTGGGCCAACATCGTGCAAAGAGATAAGGCACATTCTTGGCTCCCCAAACAGCTTGCCGTCTTCTTACGACTTTGAGACAAATACTCACAAGTTACGAAACAATTATGCAGGAAAGGGAAGTTGAGACGAATCGAGGGATTTCATGGAGGAGCGAGAGGGTGGTTGGCAAACAATAGAGACCTTATTCCAGGTATTAGATTCAGCATGATGGAAGATGCAATCTGGTGAATGAAACCAAGAAATGTCAGAGAAGAGATTCTGACCCCTATTCTCAGCAGCATGCAGCTCTGTTCAGCAACGAAGAAACCAGGCGGTTCCTTGATTTTTTAATCTACAGCAGCTGATTCTCTCCCCGCCATCCATATGGAACTGCTCACTATTTGGGACTAGCCAGAGTGCCATGTGCTCTGGCAAACCCTTTTCCCAGGCTCTTGGCAAAGAGTGTGGGAAGTGGTCATAGCGGAACAGGAACTAGCTATACCAGTGCTATGCCTGCTGGGGAATTCCTCATTGGGGAGATCTGGCAGCTTTCTGCCCCTTTTAAACTCTTCTCAGAAGAGATTCCAGATCCCTGTCTCTGTTTATCCTAAGGAATATTCTACGATTAGAACATCTCTAGTCCAACACTCTTTGATCTGGCAACATCCATGCTCCGGTATGATTTTAGTTATCCAGATATCTAATTATCATGGGTGTGACCAAGTTTCCCATGGTCCCATAAAGTTTTACAGCCACCAGTCCTGGATGTCATTATTCTGTGCTGCCATTCAGCTCTATTGTACTGTCTTCTGAGAGCCTAGTGAGCAGTGGAAGTCTTGGAAATGCTGCTGGACAATATTGACCTCCTGTGGTCCGGCAAATTCTCTGGTTCAGCACTGGTCAGGTCCCAAGCATGCCAGACTAGAGAAGTTCAGCCAATAAAAGGAATATGTTCTGGAAAGCATGCATTGCAATGTATACAAAACAAGTGGCATGCAAAGCACTATGTGACAAGTGACCAGTGCCAAAACAAACAGCATCTCCTTGCCCTAACCAACTACAGTTGAAAAATCCCATATCCTAAATAAACAGCAGCAAAGCAAACATCTGTAGTTTGATTTTATTTTAACAATTTCCCGACTAGCACAGAGGCTTTACTTTTTTCAGCTCACAGGCAAGTCAGGAAAAAGGAGAAATTACATTACTTTAGCAAACCTTTTGCATAATGGAAAGTCACATTAATGATAACAAAACCTTCTCTTTGACACTTCTAAAATAACAAGCAACAGCTTTCTTTGAGGAGGAACAGTCTACCCATGGATTTCGGTGAGAAGACAGCCCAAGCATAAGCTCCCCCTATTCACTACTTTTCCACCCCAGAGCTAGCTGCACTGGAAGAGGACGGGTGGGATCATCTGCATGGAGAGTAAGAGGAGATAAGTTTCTGACCCAGTGAGCAGCCTGAGATCTAGGCTGAAACCCGTTCTGTTGAAACTGTCTCCCCCATCATCCCTAATATTTGTTTTTTACTTTCTTTGTGATTCAGGAAACTTGGAAACCAAAAGATTCCATTGAAGCAAAGTGTGTTTCTGCGGCTCCACAGAAGGAGCTGGAAGAAATGCACTGGGAATGGAACTGGCTGGCAGGAGGCATTTGGGATGTAATTTCAATTTCCTGAGCAAAGCTGAGACCTCTGAAGGGGGAACAATGCAAATGTTAGGAGGAAAGTCTCTTCTACCCAGAACAGAAAGCAAGTCTCTGGGCTTGAAGGAATGGCTAGGATATGATGGACCTTACTACAATCCCACACACACTCTGTCATGATCCAGTGCTTCCACATAGTTGATAGCCCACTGGCCATTCCCTCCCAAATCTCCCACAAGCCCTCCTTCAAGAATTCCTGAGAAGAGAGACGCTGCCCGGCTTGGTTCCATGGCACTCGAGATCCTGGCCTTTGTGACTAGGCGCTAGGATTCGACATGCAAATGCAAACTAGCTGCCTTAGTTACCAGCAGCTTCTCTGTGCCTTTAGCCGTTTAGGTACCACAGCCTCCCACTGAGATTTTTCCCACCTTTTTTTTTTTAATCACATTCTGAGCTGTGCCTCTAAGGGGGCAGTGGGCAGCAGTGTGGGTCTATCTGGAAGAGAGCTGGGAGCAGTTGCTGAAGAAAAGTGAGGGTGTTTTTACTTTCTAAACTAGGAGTCTCAAATTCAATTTACCTTGGGGCCAGTGCCAGTCCTCAACTCCTCCTACAGATTGGACGTCCCTGGTCCAGCACCCTCAGGACCTGACTGGTCCCAGATGAGGGATTTTGCCAGACCAGAGGAGGTCATAGCTGGCTCCCCTGTTACCTGCTCCTCCCAGCCCCAGACCAGCCGCTGGCCTCCTGGCTGGCTCCCCCTTGACACCAGCCTCACTGCCCTGCCGGTCCCCCAACCTCCTTCCCTACTATGCTGGGCAGCCCCGCTCCCTGTGCTCTGGGGTTCTGGCCTGCCAGGCAGCCCTCTGCAGTACGCTGAGCTCCTGGCCCTGCCTAACGGCCGCATTGGGAGTGCAGAGCGCCTGGCCCCACCAGGCAGCCCTGCTGGGTTGTGCCTGGCTGCCTAGTTGCGTTAAACTGGGCAGCCCAGCAGCGGGGAGCCCAGCCGCAAGCCCTCCACTGCGACTCTCTGGTCCTGAAATATCTGTGGTCCCGCCGGATGATGGATGTTGCTGGACCAGGAAGTCCTGGATTATAGAGGTTCAGCTTGTAGTAGGCCCGTGGGCACCCCCTCTGGCAGCAGCTTCAGGAGTGGGGGGTGGGTCTCTGTGCATCTTCCCCCCTCACACACACATCTCCCAGCACCACCTGCCGGCCCATGCACACACCTACATTCCCCTCTCCTGCCTGCCACCCTCAGGCGATTTAAAACAGCCATCACCAGCAGCACAGCAGGTTATGTCCCTATGGCCTGGGGAAGGTGTGTGCAGAGTCCATAGGCCGCCACATGAACCCCCAGACTGGCCTCGGGTGGCAGAACGAAGCATGCTGCTGCGTCACTCCACTTCTCCATGGCAACCATCACCATGATGAGGGTGGGAGGCTGAGCCCTGCTATTGCCCCGTGCCAGCCTCCGGTAATCCCTAAGGCCGCATCTCATGGGGGAGGGAGCAGCTTGGGAGAAGAAGTGCAGAGCGGGGGACTGGGCAGGGCAGCGGCAGAGCCACGGCTGGGCTTTGGGCAAGGTACAGACACCCCCATCCCAGGGACTCACGTTCCACCAGCAGTGCAGGCCGGATTTACTTTACGTGTCGACCAGCCAGGCAGTACGCAACTACGTACTGATACTCATGATAATAATAAAACGTACTTAATTAGAAAATACAGGACATTTATATGTCTGGTATTTTCTCAATTTGTTTCCTGGACAGAAAGCTCAAATACCGGACTGTCCAGTTTAAAACTGGACACCTGGTAACCCTAAATGAATTTGAGTCCACTGTTCTAAACTCTCTGTGATGCCTGAAATATGAAGATTATTTCTTCTTGCCTTGATTTTCCAGTCACCCAATTTGTCCACATTTTCATTTTCTGAGCAAACATTTCCCCCTTTTTCTCCTTTGTTTCAATGGCTATTCTCCTGCACTCACCTTCTGAGTCAGCCATTTGGGATGTGATGTCAGAGATATCATTTCTCAGGAGAGGAGGGTCTTGAAAATATTGTCCAATTTCTCTACCATGAAGGCTCTTTGGCATTTCTCTAGGCCCTGGGTGTCCTACCAGTTCTGAAGCAGTGGCTAATGCAATAATGAACTAGCCACACTCAACCAGCCAAATAGCCACATATGTTGGACACCACGGCCTAGGCCTTGTTTTGGGGTCACTTTGAGGAGAAGTCTGTTTGGGTGGGTCAACTCCAGTCTCTACTTTATGCCTTTGTTTGTCATTCATATACAACTATGAGGATCCTATAAGTCTCCGTGGAACTTTAATTTTTGAAAGCTGGAATGCAATGATGTATCCATAGTAACCACTACATTTCATGTGACAAGATAGCAATATGGGAACCCAGATGCCATTGTCTCCTAGTTGCTGTATGACCTCACCCAAACATTCACTAGGCTCAAAGATCTAAGCACAGAAAAGTATGTGTCACCAATGAATATGAAGTTTTTAATTTTAGGTATCATTCATTGTGAATATGTATATTTTATGGAAACAGCCAGTTCCCACTGCTGCTTACTAATGAGTTGTGTGTGAGCCCTTCTTCACACTGGTGAACACAAGTAACTGTCCTCCAATGGAAAAAAGCAATTTACAAATCTGACCTTAAACTACACATAGCTGGAAAATTTCTGGAACATCAAAAGAGTGAGACTAAACCACAGTTTTTACACTGCTTTACATACACAATTACATGGAAACTGAGAGTTAAATCTGCCACAGCTCCCTTAACTTAGCCTGTTTGTTTCTACCCATTACACTCAAGGGCTAAAGTTATGCCTGCTGTTCAGATCTCTCTTATATAATACTTTATAAGAAAGGCGGGTATATATACAGATATACATCTTTCCACAGTCTGTGATGAAGTCCCACTTTAAGCAAGCAAGAAATACCTGGCTATGAGTTGTTTGGCTCACATGCTAGGAAGACACTAAAAAACTCAGATTTTGAGATGAACAGAAATTAGACCCATGCACCCTAAAGGCTTTGTAAGTACTTCGGCAACCAGCTGAGGTTGAAAAATCGTTTTCTACTGCCTGCAGGTGTACGTGTTTGAGTCACCAGTAACGTGACCTTTTCATTTCTCTGGAACTGTTACTCACCCATAAAGGCATTCCTTCTACTGATCGAATGCCAGATAATCAGCTTCGCTGGAACCCTGCAATTCTTAGAACTCTCAGCCAGACATGTTGCCGCCTATGCTAAAACACACAGACACAGTTAAAGTCCATCTCAAGTATATTTACATAATAATGGACTTTCATTTCCCTGGTATATGAACTGTTGTGTGAGAAGAATGTTTCTGAAGTTTGCTGATATTATCAGATGCACTTTAGCACAGAAACTCAATGGCAAAACAGTGTACTGTGTATTGTAATTATAATCATGTAGCCATCACAAATGCATGTAGCCTTTACACCTCTGCATGAGCTAACCAGACACACAGGAGTAAAGAGGGCTATGCACCCACTTACAGTACTTCTTTTTCAGAGTAGGTGGGCAGTGAGCTCATAGAACAATGACTCCGCCTCCTCCAATGCCATGGCACACACAACTGAACCAAAAAAATGAGGGAGAGTAGTAATTTAACAGATAACTTCAATCCCAGGAATAGGAGAAGCAAGGAGGGGAGAGAATTGTGAATCGGAGTCATTATGCCATCCAGTGCTATTGTTTAGTGGTGCAACTTACACGCCATCCATGGCTCAGTGCTGTGCATAATGTGACAGTCAAGCCCTTAAACTTGTAAATTTGTAAAATATTTAAGCTTCTCCTAAATATTCCATCAGTTAATGTTTGCACTGCAAACAGAGTAGAGTCTAGCAGTAATTGGCCTCCTTTACTAAAGCCAGGGCCCTTGTAAACATTATATGGAAAATATAATTTACATAGTAAAATAATAATGTGTGTCAACATGGCTCAGAGATAGATCTCCATATGTGTCTCTTGAAGAGGCTTTTATCCTACCTGGAGCTATGTGAACAAATTCTCTCCTTTCTTTAGTAATCCTAATTAACCTTTTATATGGAAACTAGACCCTTACAAGCATGCTGACAGTCATTCTGTCTTACAGTTAGAATTACAAATTATTCTTGAACGATAATTCCCAGAAATGTAATAAGAATATTGCAGAAGTCATCTTTCTTTATATTTCACTCACATCACAACCTTACAGACACACTTCATCTTTCAGTTACTTGCCTTAGGGCTTGTCTACACACATCACTTCTACTGTTTTAATTATGCCACTATAATTAAAAGGGTCCTGTCCCCTCTAATGTGGACACAGATATCCATATAATGGTGTTTTTTATTACTAATGTCATATTCATAAAGGGAAGAGAATAAGCTACACCAGTACAAGATATTTTCGTATTAATACAACTATGTCTGTGTTAGAGATTGTGCCCAGTATAACTATTTTGGTTTAAAAAAAATCACACCCTAACCCAAATAGTTAACCCAAAGCAACAACTGTATTAAGAACAGGTCTTAATTATCAGCTCCACAGTTGAATAGAGTGGGCTAGTCCCATCAAAGTTATTTGCTCTACCCATTAAGAGATAAATAGAGCAGGTTTTAAAAATGTAATTAGTTATAGGTTCTCTCTTTTTTGCAATAACATATTGCATGTAAACATCTGTTCTGCTATCCTTTCCAAGGCTGGCCTTACCATGAGGCAAACTGAGGTGGCCACCTCAGGTGCCAAACTGTGAGAGGGCGCCACTAGGACCCAGAGGGTAGAAAATTGTGTCTACTGCTGGTGCATATGTATTCTCTCTGCTTTAGATGCACAGAGATGGGGGAGTGCTGTGCTGGAGGAAGGAGGGCACAAGAGACATAACAGGCAGGCAGGAGAAAAAGTGGCATAGGGGCGTCATGTGCCTAAATTTTGTGGGACGGCCCCGATCCTATCCATTTTCCTCTCCTATACTTTTTTTAAATGAAAAGGAAGTAATGGAACTTGAGCTCCTTGGATTGCATTAGGTGAGCTCTCTCATTTTATTTCTGTAAAGTATAAAGTCAAGAAAAATAATAATTAGAAATCTGCCTTTCTGTCGTTGAGAGAAATGTGCACAGTGTTGTAGCTAGGTTGATCCCAGGATATTAGACAAATAAGAAGGGTGAGGTAATAACTTTCACTGGACCAACTTCTGTTTGTGTGCGATACAAGCTTTCGAGTTTAGACACAGCTCTTTTTCAGATCTGGAAGAGTGTCTCTTCAAGAATAATTTAAATTCTAGTTGCACCCTGTTCCCAATTTAAACCAAGAAAGCAGGCGTCATGATGGTTATGTTACAGGGTACCTGTAGTCCTAAGAGTAAGAAAGCTGTATAAAGGTAGGGCCTTTTCCTCAGCGTGGGAGGGAAATGAAGCAGGGATAATCTGATGATAGCTGCTTCTTACTTAAGGCCCCAAGCCTGGAGCTCATAGAATAGGAAGTGTGTGAACTTCTGTATCTGGCCACCACAGGGTATTTTCATTAAAGGAGAGGAGACCAACAAGTTCTCAAAAGGAAAAGAGATGGGATAGAAGTTTTGGACTGCTGATCTTTTTTAACATTGGTTGCCCCAGAAGGGATAGAATTTAGCAGGAGGATATTACCCAACCAGCAAGGAGAAACTGAGGCAGTAACTGCTCCCAACATGTGGCCGAGTGCTGTGGTGTCCCAAGTGCAGGCACTCAGGGCACTCCAAGACAGGACTGCTTTGCTGTCCCTCATCGAGGTAGACAAGCAAGCAGGGAACCCTGATTTTGGAATATTTTGGTTCATTTAAGATTTTTATTTCATTTGATTATACATTTTCTTTCATGTATAGCACCACTCCCCCATCAGCATAACATGTTCTGTCCTTCTGATATATTTTGTACCCTGGTATGACTGTGTCCCATTGATTGTCCTCATTCCATTCAATTTCTGTGATGCCTATTATATCAATATCCTCCTAAAATACAAGGCAGTTTAGTTCACCCATCTTATTTTTTAGACTTCTAACATTTGTGTATAAGCATTTTAAAAAGTTGGGACTATTTAGCTGTCTGCCATTTCCTGATGGCTACGTCTAGACAGGCATGATTTTCCGCAAATGCTTTTAACGGAAAAGTTTTCCATTAAAAGCATTTGTGGAAAAGAGCGTCTAGATTGGCACGGACGCTTTTCCACAAAAACACTTTTTGCGGAAAAGTGTCTGTGCCAATCTAGACGCGCTTTTGCGCAAAAAAGCCCTGATCACCATTTTCGTGATCAGGGCTTTTTTGCGCAAAACAATTCTGAGCTGTCTACACTGGCCCTTTTGCGCAAAAGCTTTTGCCCGAAAGGGAGCAGCATAGTATTTCCACAAGAAGCACTGATTTCTTACATGAGATCGTCAGTGTTCTTGTGGAAATTCAAGTGGCCAGTGTAGACAGCTGGCAAGTTTTTCCGCAAAAGCAATTGCTTTTGCGGAAAAACTTGTCAGTCTAGACACAGCCCATGTGTTTGAATGGCACTCTTTTTCATTTGACTGTTTCTTATCTGACCTTACCCATATTTTATCATCTTCCATCCTGTCCTCGTTACTAGAACATAGAGAATCTCTGTTAATAGACTATACCCTAAGCCTCATGTAGATAATGGGAATAATATTTCCTTTTTCTTCCTTCTCTGCTGTGGCCTTGTCTTGCTTTGCAATATAGTGATGTTGGCATAAGCATATTGGAAAAGCCCCCATGTTAGACACAGCTTATGCAGACAGGAGTAGTTTTTCTGTCAGTACCACCACTTCCGTGAATGACTTTAGCTATGCTAATAGAATCATTCTTTTGTCTACCATGTCTATTTTGGGAGTTTTATTGGCATAGCTATCTCAGCAGTATGTATCTTTTTGTCACACTCCTGACTGACAACTATGTTGACAAAACTTTGTAATAGAGACCTGACTTTAGATTATAAGTTTCAGGGGCAAACGCTATCTCTTCCTATGTACACATATGACAAAGGGGCACTGTAGACACTACTGAATAAAAATGAATAATTTTAATCTGGGTAAGTAAGCCAAAAG